CGCAACGTTAAGGAAATCCTCATTGAGCCCACCAGGAGGGTTCCACACACAAGTGTCAGCTCCACATGTTCCTGTCACCTGCAATAGGGTGGAACAAACTCTGAGTACTCAATTGTACTCCGTAAGACTTACCTGTCAGGAGGAAAGAAAAGACTCCAAGGATATATAAGGCTATCTAGCTTGTGGTTTTATTGCATCTGCAGGAAGCATTACTAAGCGTGCATCCTTATATTCAATTTCATTAGCAGTCACCATTAGTTCATTAACTAACCATTCTTTGTAAGCACTTGTGCTACTTTCAAGTAGGTGGTAAGCAATCAGAACCATTTTACCATCTTTCATATTCCAGTTCCTACTACGGTGCTAGATCATAGACAAGTCGTACCGTATTACACGGCGATTCATGAATCAATGTAGCCCAGCTGGGTACCCCAAAACACACGTCTCGCTTGTACCCCAGGCACAAGCAGGACCAACCCACCACTCTCCTATCAAGAGGTCCAGGTCCCCGTCCAAACTTGGACTCCAAGCCCCCACACCGGAGTCTCGGACTCAGTGTGGTGCTTAGACCTCCACCATCCCTGCCTCCAATCAGTCGGTCTGGAAAGTGTCGGAACCCACGACAAGAGAGCAACGAGCCTTCTCGCCCCCATAAGCAAGTATGTGCTCAGGATAATAAGTCTATGACCTGACTAGAATCCAATGCAACGGCCAGTCCTTAACCGACACAGGCGGAACAAGTGCAATCCGAGCCTCGCTCAAATGCCAAACCAAGTCCAGATCCAAAGTACCATTCCACCCGGTCTCCAATTATCATTCATATATATTCCATGTGATAGTAATATAATAACAACAATAATATATTTTCTATCTCTCGCGAGTGACAGGTAATCACTCGACTTCTATCGGAGTCCTGTAGCATAGCAATCTACATGATACTGTCATACTAGTAAGACTCATAGGATAATGATATATATATGCAAGGGGTTTTCATTCAACTCCTTAAAACTTAATACACAAGCATAAGATAAAGTGCAGAATAATAGGGGTTATGCACCGGGGCTTGCCTGAGTAAGATATAACCAAAAGTTAGCATTCCATCATGGTGACACGATCATCAAGGCACCATCTTTTCTGCTACTTCGGTCATCTCCACGATCCATCGTTGTTCCTATTATGATATACGTGGATGCAACACAGAGATGCAATTAATCAATGGTAACTGCAACTCTATAATACGATTATGCTCCACGAGCTAACGAGCTAGCTTAATGACTAACGTACTAGTCTACGTATCCACGTCGCCAAGTAAAGCTTGTTTCCAGAAAATGTTTTCGTTCTACAAACCCCCAATTATTTTGACATTTGATTGATTAAATATATATTTTCGTACTAGGGCTCATTTAGTTACCTTAACAAACTAATTCCTATGGAGCTACAAAAATTACAGTGAGCACCTAATAATGTGAGGAATTTACTGTGAAAGTTTCAGAGCCAACACTATCTCCAATTTATCACAACAATTCCTACAAGTTTATATCTTACAATATTAAGCATTTCAAATTGATTAGATAACCCCTGAAAATATTATAAAACTATGTGAACAAAATATACTAACAGATAGATCATAATTTTAGGAACCTAACAGAATTGGTTTTATAATTTTTGGACATCTACACAAATTTATCTTGAATTTACAAGTTCACCTTAGAAACTAAATTAGAAAATACATTAGAAAAGGGAAAGGGCCGGCAGCGACCCTTTAGGCCCAGCAGCCCAGCGCGGCGCAGCGGCCCAGTATGGCCCAACGCGGGGGCGCCCGTGCACGTAGGCCATTTTGTAGAAAAGGGTTTGGGTTTTTGGATAATCACGCGGAGCAACAGAACACTATTACTATAGACTCACGCTTTGCAATAAAGACCCTAGAATGTGTTGCCTTTGCAATGGGACGGTCCTCGGCGTGCCCGCGCGTGGCACCACGGCACATCGGTGGCAACGGCGGTTACGCCGGGCCAACTAGGCTCATTACGACGGAAGTAAGGGGCTGACAACCATCTACAACTAAACGCGCAAGGATAGGTGGCGGTTAGGGACTCAGAGGCGCACTGTCGCGAGCTGCAGTGGTGAGTGGCTATCTGCGGAGGCGGCATGATTGTTCCGGTGAGCCTACGCCCTCACGGCTAGGTAGAGATGGCAGAGAAGCATCCGTAGCTCACCGTGGTGTACACCCTACTAACGGTTGAAGCTGGGAAGCGTTGTGGCGGTCTGGCCACGCACGACCGAGCGGGGCGATGGCTCTCTGCGATGGACACCGGCATGTCACCATGTCGCCGACAAGTTTCCTATGCAAAATAGTGTGAGCACCGGATAGAGGGAGTCAAAGTGAGTGCAGGGTTACGAGCAATCGAACTGCTACCACTCCTATATGCCTTACCCCCCAACCTACTAATTCGGTGGCGCCCACGGCCAGTGGCGAGCAAAACGCCAAATTGGCCAACTGTAAGGCTCGTTTGTGATTTGGTGCAGGTCAGTTTGCTAGCTAGCTTCCAATCCTAGTCGCTGGGGCACTGAATCAAGATGGGATATCATGGATCCTGCGTTTAAAGCTTGTGAAGCGGCATGGCTCCTTCGGTGGCAAGGCAATGGGGCAGCGGCTTCGGCAAGGCCGCGTTTAATGAGCGAGAGCATCCGCACGGTGCGGCACAGATGGAGCGTGTCGTGGGGTGCTGGGATGGGACAGCTTGGTCTGGGCAGGGCATGGACGGCGGTAGCGGAGATATGAGCACATGAGCGAGCAACGCGTCGGTTAGCGCCTACGTGCGGCCACGCAACGACGTCGAGATGAGGGTGTGGTAGGTGGGTTCAAAGGCGGAGGACGCGTGCTACAGCAGTCGAGGTGAATCAAAGGGCGGAGAAAACGCCACGATGACCGAGCGACGGCAGTCGCATCCTCACCTCGGCGCTGCGCGCGGCACAATGGCTCGTGCGCGGCTTGGCCAGCAAGAGGGCAGGCGAGGTGAGAGGCACGTCGCGGCGGCGTCCCAGCAGGCGGCACTGGCCTACAGGGAAGGTCCGTGACCAGCCCAGGGCCGAGCCCAGCGCTAGCTGCGCATGCGCGCGAGGCGACCGTGCCCATGGGGCCAAATAGACGAAACGATGACACGCACACATTTTAAAGTGGGCCAAAAACTACTTACCAACTCAATAAAGACTCAACCAACTCCATGAACCCAAAGTTGATACTAACACCTAGCTAACGGAGCAAACCTCACATCCAGAGAGCGACCAGAGAGAGATAGGGAGGTGCCAACATGGATTCGTCACGCTGAACACCGGTTCGCGAACCGAGCACCGTATCAGGGTTCGCAGCGCGTTCTAGTGAAGTTAGGGTAATTTTAGAGCGGACAACGTGACATCCAACACAATGTAGACCTATGCCATGCTCAAGCACTCACTTTGATGCAATCAACAATACCAAAACGTGCAACTAGTGTTTAAACATTTTTGTTAGAAATTTAATGTCAAAATAGCATTGTCTTACTACTTTTCCATACTTAAGAATGTTAAGGATTTCAATTGAGGCTAAGTAACCATTAACTCTTTTGTCGCAATTTTTAATAGATCTAAACCTTGTTAATTTCAACCACAAATACTTCATACAATAGTCCATACCTTATACTAACCCGTGGGAGCAAAATATTTTAGCACTATTTAACTATTTTGCTCCATATAATTCATCAAAAATGGTATTTTAACAATAGTTCAAGTGCTTGCCGAAAAGAGCTTATCTTAATGTCAAGTTTGATTTTTGGGCTCCCAAAACACCAGTTAACAACATCTATTTTCCAAAAGTTAAAGTTGCATTGTCATCTACCAAGTTTGTACCTCCAACTTTATTTAAGTGTCACATACATGCTCTATAGTATTTTTGCTTAATAAAAATTAGTTTTAAACCCTAAGTGATATAACATGACTATTGAATCAACTTTCGTTTATCATTCTTGTTGATCGTTTTGAGTTACGGAAATTGATCTACACACTTTATCATATGCATTGACACATAAACATGACGCTCATGACATAGTTTAGCAAGTTGTTTAAGCGGTAACACCGAGAGTGGTACAGGTTGGGAGATCGACGATCATTTGTGCATGACCTAAAGACGACGATGGCATGGTGGGGGAGTCGTGGTAGCTACACGGCTAGCTTGTAGTGGACTACGGCGGCTAGTTCTGCATGACAGCGACTGGTTGGTGTGGGACATCATCGGTAACGATGGCGCTTACGGTGAGGGCTACTTGTCGTCTTTACTCTTAGTTTGTGGGGGTGTGGCCTGGGGAACTGTTTGGAGTTGAGTGGAGTTGGTGTGCCCGCGTTGATGTCTCAATCCAACCAGCAGTTGTTGAGTCTGAGTATTGTTGTGCGGCGCGGGTACGGTTGAGGTCCCAGTCCAACTGGCCGCTTTCAGTTGTTGCTCTTTTCTGAGCTTTATTGTTGTCGTAATTTTCTTCCATTTGTTATTTTGCCCAGTCTGGGTTTACTTCTGCTTTTTAATACAATCAGCGGCTCTCTTGCCTCGTTCGTTTTAAAAAATAATTTTGTATTCTTGTGGGTATAGTTTTCCAAACGGGCGCTTGCAAGACGCAAGACGCGCACGCGCACACGGCCAGCAACTCGGCTGCCGAGGCATGGCACTATGCGGCACGGTGGCCCGCCGCGTGCGTGCTGATAGTGCCACCGTGCGTCAAGTGGCGACCGAGTGCACGACACTATCAAGTGTAAATCAGGTGCGCGCCGTGCAAGCGAGCACGCGGCACGCCGCCGATGGTTCGTGCCGCCAGTGCACTAAACACATTTTAACCAAAGCACTTCATCGGGTTCAAGATTGAAGTAACAAGCATAATTTGGAATCAAAATTACCAGAAAAAGAACTGGAGAAACAAAAATAGAGCAAACACACAAGAGTTAAGAAAATAGAAATATGGGAGCATGTGCTTTGGTTAATGGGGTCCTCCACCTTCGTCACCATCAAGGTTGATGGGGTCCTCTACGCCAGCTCCACCAGGTACAGCTCCATGGCCGAAGAGCTCTTCTACCTCTTCGTCGCCCATGTCGTCGTCGTCATCACCAGGGAGGTCGCGGACCCTCTCCATCTCATCAGCCATGGCAGTGGCACTAGCCTCCACCGTGTCCTCGAGAGATGGAGGGAGGCCGGGACAACATCCTCACTTGCCACGGCCTCAAACGTCCCGCCAAAAAGAAGAAGAAAGGAAGAACATGAACATCAGTCAAGAACTCAAGATTCAAGAAAAGAAATCAAGAACAAGCAGATCGGAGCTAGGGTTAGGGTTAGGCTTGGAGCTAGGGTTAGGGTGTCTTACCTAGACGCCGCAAGCAACGAATCTAAGACGGCGGAGCCGGAGCTCCTAGCAGCGCCGGATCCGTGGATCTGCGCAGAAGAGGGAGTGAGTCGTGTAACAATGAGAGAAAGAAGAAGAAGAGCGAAGGGATGTTACACGTGATCGTCGGAGCTCGAGCTACTACTGGGCCGGAGGACGAGAAGAGGAGGCGGGGTCCGCGGGGACGACGGCGAGTCGCCGTTGCCCTTGGGAGGGGCCGTTGCCCTTCGCCACCGTCGTCGGAGAGGGCGAGAGCCAGAGAGGAGAGGAGGGAGAGCGTTGGCCAGCGAGAGGATGAAATGATTTAGGGTTTGTGTGGGGGGGAGCGGGAAGGCCGGCGGCTTATATATGTGGGGCGCGTTGCTGTTCTGGATCCAACGGCCATAATCCATCGGGGATTGACGGCTGAGTTCCTGGATAGCGGGCCGTTAGCGGGCGAGCCACTTTTACCGTGTCGTGCCGTCGGTGGCCCATGGGCGAATTGGCGAGCCAGGTGCATGGGCACGGGGCGGCCGTGTGTGTGCACGCACACAGCAGGCTGTCGGGCCGGGCCGTGCTTTCTCGGGCCGTGCCTGGGCCGGCCCATCGTGCCCGGCCCATCTGGAAAACTTTACTTGTGGGAGCCCAGCTTGCATTATTAGATGCAGATACACAAAGCTTCCACTTTCTCATTTTCCTATTAAAGGAAATCTTGAGGAAGAATGTTATACTCTCTTCCTTTTTGTGTCCTATATGACTCTGTTTTCTCCCTTCCAAATTTACATAGTTTGAAGTCCATAATCCGTAAATCACTATTTTCTATCCTAATGTGGTTTAGATTTTTTTTGGTTGCCCTTCTGGAAATGCCAACGCATGCAACAATATATGCTCAAGACACCAATTCAGAAGTTGTTCAGCAAATCAGACCCATTACTTAATGTATGTTTGTATTGGCCATTTTTTTTCCCAAAATGCTAAGTATATCATTCGATCCAAATAACAAATGCGAGTTGCTTTATAAATATACTTTCAATTATATCATTAGAATTACATAGAAAATAATATTTTACTTTCCAGCTCGGCTATTTTGGCATGTTATACGCAAGTAGCACTAGCAACCTACAAAGCTAAGTTTTTTTTTTCGCGAATGTGTCGTTGGAACGTGTTTTGTTTAGACGGAGTAGAAGTGGTCAGCTTGCAGCAACCTCTGGTAATCTATGGTTTACTAGGAACCTAGAAAGCTAGAACGCTCTCAACAAGAATTCAACGTGAGCTTAATTTACAATAACAGTCTGCGATGAGGAGCCAGACGAGGACGCCGGTGGAAATTACTCATACAGGGCCGTTTGGTGCAGCTCCTCCACCGGCTTCAGTGTCGGAGCGAGCGGAGCTGAACCATTCTTGCCGCAAAATCACAGAGCTGGAGCCCTTTTCTCGTACCGATGTGGAGCCGCGAAAAGTGCTTTGCCCGGAGGGCTCCGGCTCCGGCTCCGGCTCCGGCAGGAGAGCAGACGCAGAGGAGCCCTTCTAAACGTGCCCATAGTTATATAGTCGCTTCAACCATTTATTAGACTTAAGCAAAAAAAAATGATAATAAGATCACGCTGGTTCACTTCAGTTTATAGCTCCAGATTCAGGGTTCTTACAGTGCCTCAGCTTGACTCGTATGCACCCGGCTGGGCCTCAGTTACCGTGCTGAATGAGAGAGTGGTAATCCTGAGGGCCCGCGGGCTTGCCTGCTGTGCCTCGGACTCTTTGGCCCAGTAGCCCACTACTGTCTTTCGCACCCAGTGGAACTGGGCCTAACCAAGCCCATTCGTCACAAGCACAAGAGTGCCGTTGTCCGTCCTTTCAGCCCGCCGCCCGCCCATCCTCCACATGTGGCGTGGCCGTGACAGGCTGCTGGCCCAGTTTCTTTTTCCTCCCCTCCGAGCCTTTCCCAAGGTCGAATCGGCAGAAAAAGGCTAGGCGGCTGGGCCAATCTTGGTCTTTGCTACATTCCTTGTCGTCGTCGTCGTTGTTTTTTCTTCTTCTTCTTTTCTTACAGCGACCTGGACGTGGAGGCTAGGCGGCTGAGCCATTCTTGGTCTTGTTTTCTTTTTCTTCTTGTCCAAAGTTGCCGTAGCTCAAGACACTGACACGTCACACAGCGGGGACGTTACGGCGTCTGACGGAGCACCGAGCGCCCACGTGTGCCTTAAAGAAACCGTCACCGCCTGACAATCCGATCCAATATAATTTGGAATTTTGATGATGCTTTCAAACGGTTGTTTGTCTTCAGCCTGTTCGATGGTTGGTTTCTGGGTTGATAAGTCCGGTTAGTGCTGATTAGTTGTGAGAGAAAAACACTGTTGGTTGGCTGATAAGTCCTGGCTAAAACCAACAAACGATCAGACTGCTTATCTTTTTCTTGAAAAAGGCAAATGGTTGCTTTGTTGATCGATGGTAAAACGGGCTTTACTAGTTTATGATGGCCATGGTTTCAGGATAAGTGCTGTTTTGTTTGCCTAGAGTCCAGACGGCGACAATGACACGGGTGACGTGCCGGTGAAGCTTCCTTTGGCATGCCGGTAAAACTAGTCAGTGCTGCACAAGTTCTCGGGCACCTGTATTTTACCGGCCTATTCGGTTGATATTAAAGCCGACTGATAAATCAACTAAAGCTGTTTTGTTGTGATAAGTTCAAACGAACATACCTACAGGTCGAATTCACCGCTGGTTTGCACGTCCGATTCAGACTCGGTGAATTTAAAGACCTGAAGGGGTCATAGTCAAAACGTTTTCGAAGAAGCAGCCGGGGCGCAGTAGAGCGCAGACATGCGGGTGGAATAAAGTGGTGGATCAAGTCTGATAGCATTATGGGCCTTGTTTAGATTGAGGTTAGGAATCAATATTTGACACTGTAGCACTTTCATTTGTATTTGATAATTATTGTCCAATCATAGCCTAACTAGGCTCAAAAGATTCGTCTCGTAATTTACAATCAAACTATGTAATTAGTTATTTTTTTATCTATATTTAATACTCCATATATGTGTCAAAGATTTGATGTGATGAAAAAAGAGTGAAAAAACTTGCAATCTAAACGAGGGATGTTCAGGCAGTAACTGAGAGCTTGTCCCTCTACCTACACTGCAGTTGACTAGGCGCTAGGATAAATAAGCTGAATGCCATCTCGTATAATTGTTGACTTTTGCTATTTATCTCTTGACAGGTTGTTTTTTACTAGATCTGTCAGATTTCTATACGTTTGACTGTGCTTTAGGATTTATGCTACAACTGTCTACTAAGCCGTACTTATAAAAAAAATGACAGATTTGACCACATAAAATATGTTGAGAGATAAGTAGACACTCGCATAATTATTTATGGGACAACGAACTGCTACGGTACCCATGACGGCTAATTTTTTCTACTTCATACAAGGCAGCACTACTCTTTTTTCCTAATATTCAGATATCTATAAGAGCAACTACAAAAGACTCTTTGTATCCTTCGTATTGATGGAAATAGAGATTTTGATGGAAAATAGTCTTGCAACAGTTCTTTAATTAGATTTTTAAATATTGTCATTCTTCATTTTTGTTTCTCGCTAGCAAAAATAGAGAGCAGAGCTAACTCTTTGACATACGTACAAAATATATAGAAGATTTTGAGGGTGGAAATATATATATATATATATATATATATATATTTGAAGATGCTCTAAGTTCAACTTTCCCAAATTTTCTCTAAATTAAGTCATCGCAGAACTACTAGGAGTATGCATCTTTTACTGGTGGTCAAATGAATCATCTTTTTCATTGTAGTACTATGAACAAAAGACACTAATGCCAGTTGATCTAGTTTGTTAATGCTTGTGCACTAGTAGTATATAAATAAAATAAAATGGTATACGTTTGGAATAGGAGGGAGTAAGAGTTGTGTACTTCCATTCAGGAGTCAACAAGTGCAACTATAGAATCCAAAGTATTTTCCCCCAAAGTGAAAAACGAAAGCAACTGGGTGAAGACGATGGTACTACTTGCATCAACTACCGCAACGCCACGTCAGAAAAAAGAGGCGTCTCCTTTGAAATTTCCCACATACCTGTCGGTATCGTGTAGTGGAAGTCAATTCGTCCTGCGTGCGAGCGAAAACACCTGCGTTTTGATCTCTTCAAAATAAAATAAGCGAAGAATGGCCAGATTAAAGCCTCTCGATTAGTTCAGAGAGCAACATAATCGCCCTATGTTAACAGCGCTCCTGCCAGCCACGCCATGCCTCCTAATTACGCCGCCGGGAGAGGCCGGGAGAGCGCAAGAACCATGATCCTTGCGCTGTTCGCCGCGTCGGTCCTTTGGGCGCTTCCGCCTCCGGCGGCGGCCACGGCGATGCAGCCGAACGCGACGTGCCTGCGGCGGTGCGGCGACATCGACATCCCCTACCCGTTCGGCGTCGGCCCCGGGTGCCACCTCGAGACGGGGGACTGGACGTTCGTGCTCACCTGCAATCGTACGGACGGCGGGCGGCTCCGGCTGTACAACTACCAGATCGAGGTGATGGACATGTCGGTGCGCCTGGGGCAGCTGCGCATCTACAACATCATCAACCCATGGTGCTACAACGCCACGACGCTGGCGATGAACGAGCAGCACAACTGGTGGTACGACATGTCCATCACCAACTTCCGCATCAACGACGCGCAGAACAGGTTCACCGTCATCGGCTGCAACTCGCTGGCCTACATCCGTTCGCTCAACGACAGCACCGACACGTACATGACCGGGTGCATGGCCATGTGCCCCGGCGCGAGCCGCCTGGAGAACGGCTCCTGCGCCGGCGTCGGGTGCTGCCAGACCGCCATCCCCAGCGACCTCAACGCGTACTGGGTCTCCTACGAGGACAAGTTCAACACCTCCCGGATCGCCAACTTCAGCCCCTGCAGCTACGCCATGCTCCTGGAGGCCGCCGCCTTCGACTTCCGCACCACGTACGTCACCACCGACGCGTTCGTGGCGGACAACGACGGCAAGGTGCCGCTCGTGCTCGACTGGGCCATCGGGAACAAGACGTGCGAGGAGGCCAAGCGGAACGCGTCGGCGTACGCGTGCGCCAGTAGCAACAGCGAGTGCATCGACTCCAAGTACGGCAAGGGCCGGGGCTACCTCTGCAACTGCTCCGCCGGATACGACGGCAACCCCTACCTGCTCAACGGCTGCCAAGGTGCTCTTCCTCCTAGTCCTACTGTGTTTTCGTCGCTGGCGCGTCACATAAAGAAATTGAATTCGCCACGGCGGCCAAGTTCACATTTTGCTTATGCAGATATTAACGAATGCGAAGATGGAAGATTCAGGTACCCGTGCTCTGTTCCTGGTACCTGCGTCAACACTATTGGGTCATTCTACTGCGCATGCCCTGACAAGACGACGGGCAACGCCTACAATGGAACGTGTGAGGACAAGAAAACCCAAATCGGGTGGCAGATCGCCATTGGTAGGCACACACGCGTCTCCATTTTCTTGTTTCTTGCGAAAGCTAATTAAGTTGAATTGATGATCCAACCACCGCAGATAATGTAATGACCTAGTCTCTCTTTGTGAAGGTGTTACCAGCGGCGTTGTCGCACTGATCGTCACGGCGACCTGCCTCTACATGATCCACGAGAAGAGGCGGCTCGCCAAGAACAAAAGCGAGTACTTCAAGCAGCACGGCGGCCTCCTGCTGTTCGAGGAGATGAAGTCGAGGCAGGGCCTGTCCTTCACGCTCTTCACCCAGGAGGAGCTCGAGGTGGCGACCAACAGGTTCGACGAGCGCAACGTGATCGGCAAGGGCGGCAACGGCACCGTGTACCGCGGCACCACCAAGGACGGCACGGCCGTGGCGATCAAGAAGGCACGGCTGGCCAACGAGCGGCAGAAGAAGGAGTTTGGCAAGGAGATGCTCATCCTCTCCCAGATCAACCACCGGAACATCGTCAAGCTCTACGGCTGCTGCCTCGAGGTGGAGGTCCCGATGCTGGTGTACAAGTACATCCCCAACGGCACCCTGTACCGGCTCATCCACGGCGTGCGTGACCGCGGCGTGCCGCGCATCCCGCTGGCGCTCCGCCTCAGGATCGCTCACCAGGCCGCCGAGGCGCTCGCGTACCTGCACTCCTGGGCGTCGCCTCCCATCATCCATGGCGACGTGAAGACGTCCAACATACTCCTCGATGAGGACTACACCGTCAAGGTCTCCGACTTCGGGGCCTCGGCGATGGCGCCGACGGACGAGGCCCAGCTCGTGACGTTCGTGCAGGGGACCTGCGGGTACCTGGACCCCGAGTACATGAGGACGTGCAAGCTGACGGACAAGAGCGACGTGTACAGCTTCGGCGTCGTCCTGCTGGAGCTCCTGACCTGCCGGAAGGCGCTCAACCTGGCGGAGCTCGAGGAGGAGAAGTACCTCTCGTCGCAGTTCCTCCTGGTTCTCGGCGAGGACCGCCTTGAGGAGATACTGGACGAGCAGGTGAAGGGCGAGCACAGCTTCGAGCTGCTCGAGCAGGTCGCGGAGCTGGCGAAGCAATGCCTGCTGGAGATGACCGGCGACAAGAGGCCGTCGATGAGGCAGGTCGCGGAAGAGCTAGACAGGCTGAGTAGGTGGTCCCAGCATCCCTGGGGTCGGCAGAACTCCGAGGAGATTCTGGCATTGCTTGGTGGATCGCCGAGCACGGCCTCAGAAATAGAACTTAGTACCAGTCGGAATATCAGTTTTACTGATACGGCGTACATTGGAATTAGGTCTCCACGTTAGGGCCCGTTTAAACGCAGGTATCCACCTGATTCACTAACCTCTTAATACCACTTCTACAACAGTCAGCAGAGTTCATTATACGAAATCACTTTGAGCAACTGAATCATTTTTCTTAGAGGATCATTTCCTAGCTAGTTCAACAAAAAATCAGGGGAAAAAAGAGATATACAAAGTAACCTTTGCTGGTTGTGATGATGACTCATACGGTCGGCCGGGACGGGACATGTTTGCCTTCATTACTGCAGCAAAGACTGTAACAAAAAATTGTCTGTCACATTTTTAGATTGTTAGATATTTAGTAAGGTTCTAAATCTCCAGCTATATATATAGCTGGATATAGCTGCTCAAAAGCCTCACCACTAAGAGATTTCTCTTATGCCACTATGTTATCAGGGCCCGCTATTAGTTGGCTTTAGCCGAATACAACCACTAAACAAGTTCGAATTTAGCTGCTGCCGAAACAGCCCCATGGGCCCAAAATGCAGCACTCATCCCCGTGGCCCTTTTTTTTTTTTTTTTTTTTTTGCCTTTATCCGAAGTTCCTCTGCTCTTGCAGCTAACCCTTGCTCCTCTCTTGCTCTTCACTAAAATGTAGCGGTGTTGAATAAAAAATGGTGGGTCCAGCGGTGTCTCTTTTCAACAGATTTAGATGTTCCTACTGCAAACTCTTTGGTAGTAAAAGGATCAAGATGCTTAAAAAGGAGAGGAAGTGAATTAGGCTAATATAAAATTCTCGCAAAATTAAAACCTATCATTTAGCTTATTTTTACCACACAAAAGTTTTACACTCTAGTTTTAACCTTAGTCTAGCATGACAATTCTAAGAATGTAAATGCATTAAAGTAACTGCACAAATATAAATGATGAGGAGGGTTAGGAACACAGCGATGCTTTCCCAGGGTATCAGAGAGTCCGCACTTTCCACAGTCCTCACCGGAGCACCCGCGTAGGGGTGTAGTTCCCCCTTCATACGTGCAAGGATCAAGTGCTCTATACAGGTTGATTCTTCGTCACTCCAGCACGGTGAATCACGCACAACCATTTACACCATGACTTGGGTCTCTCACAATCGTCTTCGATAGATCACTAAGCTACTTAACACCACCAAGCCATCTAGGTGATGCCGATCACTAAGAGTAATAAGCATAAACTCTCACTTGACCTAACTAAGCATAATAAGAAGAGTGAATGCACACGCTACTCCCTAAGCACTAATGGAGTCCTTAATTTTGAATTAGCAAATCCAAATCACACCAATAGGCTAAACCTCTCTCTTGGACACAAACAAGTGTATGTTCAACTTCAGAATGCCAAGAGAGCTCTAATATTCGGTCAACTTGCATGTCTATGTCGACTAGGTTCATCAACTTTGAATTTGCATTTTTGGGTTGTAAACCTTTTAAAGTTGTACAAAAGAGGTCCATACCAGTTCGTCAGGGCAATTGATCCTACGTGGTGTGTACGTTGTGGCTGTTGAGGTGGATAGGGTCACATGTAGGTGTAGCGCATGTCTAGTCAGCGACCGATCAACTTTTATTCCTGAACCCACGTGCTTCTTCCTCCCTTTCATTCTCCGGTACTTCCCCATCTCTCCTATGTCTCTATCTCATATTGAGCCGACGGTGGAGGGGCGACAATGGCGCCAGCGGCAGATCCACGACGATGCTCTGTTCGCAAACGCACCAAGCAAGTTTGAATTTTGTATTATATTTGTGGTTTGAATTTGGACACTGAATCTTAGCTTGATTTGTTCAATCTCCATTGTAGTGTAGTGGTGAGGGTTGCCCATTTTTCTATTGGGAGGATAAGTACATGGATCTTCTGAAGTCTAAGGCTTCCAAGAAGCAAGATTATGTGGAATGGAAGACCTTGATGCATACTCCCATAAGAAGGATTCAAACGTGACCCTTATCCACCTCAGCGGCCACAATGTACACGCCATGTAAGATCAATTGCCCAAATGAACAGGCATGAACCTTTACTGTATAACTTAAAAAAGTTTTGGAGTCAGAACAACAAATTCAAAGTTGATGGATCTAGTTGAAAAGACACACAAGTTGATGGACTAACCGAGCATTTTACCCTTTAAATTAAGTCAACTTTTAATCAAATTTTTGTACGGAATACATCTTTATTGCAGCTGACTTTTATTTGGGGCCTTGAAATGTATTTTTATTTGTGGTTAAATAAATAATGAGTTATAAATCTGAATGAATCAACAAATTCAGCACCAACGAGTTTGTTCCCTTCGCTCATTTTTGTATTTCCAACTTGATATGGACAATCTTCAATAGATAGCTTTTGGATCATCCTCGTTGACATAAGGGCAAACATTTTTGTAGGCCAGGATTGGAGGGGATTGAAGGGGAAATTAGGAAATGATAGATCCAAACTAGCACTCTAGGAGACGTCTTACTGTAAATAGCATAGGCTAAAATCTCCTCATAGTCCTTCATGTGCCACGCATGGCGGATCATTGGGCCAAAATGAATTGGAATCCAATCCTGTCAATGATGTAGCGTCAACAATGGTTCGCATAATCGCCTTTCATGCACATTGGCTTTAATAATTTTGTTAGCTAAATGAACTTGGTTTACCATGAGGGCCTTTTTTTGCCTCTAATGCTTCATTTCATCTTCTAAGACTTGCTTCAACTTTTTCAAAAAACTAAGCAAGTGTCTTCCTCTTGTTTTTTTATGAAAGTCTTATTGGTTTTCACTTTCTCCTTCTTAGGTTTAGGGTTGCTAGCTACACCTTAAACCCTAAACCCTAACTCTAATATCCTTGGTTGTTGTGTTGCATATTCTCTAAACCCTAAAACGCTAATACCTCTGGTGGTTGTGCTGTGTCTTGGGTTTAGGGTTTAAGTTGTAGCTAGCAACAATGGTGTAGCTAGCAACCCTAATACCCCTAGCTGCTGTGTTGCATATTCTCTAGATCGTCGAGCAACCTCCCTTGTTGTTAGTTGAAAAAATTACCCGTGCACATATATTTACGTTTGAGGCACAGTCAGGGTTAGTCTAAAACAAAAATGTTTGCAAAGGCATTCCAAGTTGTGGGCCTTGCTCAAAATATGCATTATAATGCTCCCAGATCTCATCAATATCTCTATCTTCCCCTTGGTTGAATGATGACCATGTGTTGACACCGAATTAGATCTCGGATCACACACCAGTAAGGGCTAGCATGCCCGAGGTCGCACATGACCTAATCACACAGCGAGTAACTCCAAAATCAGCAAGTGCCGACCAACCGGTCGATAAAACCGATTTGAAGCTCGTTATTCGCCGATAGAGCTCGAGAACATCTCCCGAGAAGTTCCGGCGAGGAGATGCACGTTGAGGTTGTCATAGGGTCGGCAAGACCACCTAAAACGCCACCAAATCTCGTCGAGAGATGCGTCGAACAGTAGGGGTTGGAAAAGTTAGGGTAAAAACGATAATATATGTATTTTTTGTTTTGATTAAATGTTGGATATCCCAATTGGTCATGATCCTACGATATGTATAGAGGAGGGTGGTCTTATCTTTGTAGAATACATGTCCAAGGCGCGTTTTGCAAGTTTTTCATGTCAAAACACAATCCAAAACCAATTTGGACTCTTAGCCGGTTTCGAGTAAAAAAACCGTCCTAGCCGGATTTGAAACCGGCTCTTCAGGCTTATGCAGACCGGTCGGACCACCTAAAGAGAAATCGTCCTAGCCAGTTCCGGTTTAGGAAACTGGCTAGGCCGGCCTTGGAAGGCTGAGCCAGATCCTTTCTTTTGTCATCCAAACTCCAAATACGATGATCTCGATTGACTTGACACTAGGAGGGTCGCGATGGAGTCCTTTACATGCATTGATCACTTTTTTGCTGTCAACACCATGCTTGTTTTCGAAGGCGATCGATACACCATACTCACACACACACACAAAAGACTTCAGTATGAAGCTTTGCATCAATACATCCCCGGCCGGTTCCCTTTCGCCTGGATTGAAGCAAGAACATGCCAATCTGAAATGCTCTTTTCTTGCCAATCTTATGATTCCGGACTTCAATTCGTAGCGGATGAAACAAGCAGCGAAGCACCGTCCTAGCTCCATCTCTCTATCGCCAATGTTTGCTAGTTGGTGCCCAGCTCCCATCCAATTATCCATCCATTTCCTCAAGCCTAGTCCAATCAGGTCGTGACAGGCGTTGCCGACAGTACCCACACCGCGACCGCGGGGAGCCGATAGGTGGGGGCGCCGGCCCGGTCCCGTCCACGCGACCAGGCCTCAAGGCCCCAGGCGGTACCGCCGCCGCCGCCGCTGCGACAGTCACGCTGGGGGGCCTGCATGCTCCTGCGATGCGAGCGGACCTGAAAGCGCATGGGCCGAGGGCCGGGGCCCGGGGGAGAGGGGCAAGCGCACCTGGTCCCAAGGGGGCTGCGTCTCGCCGTCCCGTCTTGTTGACGCCCGATGCGCGCGGATCTGGTGGTAGCGCGGCGCACGGCCCACGGATAGCATGTGTAGTGGCGTGGGCCTCCGTCCGGTCCCGTCTTACTTTGGATAAGCCTGACGATGTCTACCTGGGAATTATTTGGGTCATCTTACTTGACTCTCGGATCCTGTCGCTATTGCATTCGCGGCTTTGACCGCACAAGTATTTTCAGGGGAGCAACGTTCCCTGTTGGTCCATATGTGGATGGGGGGATTCTTGCTGGATTCACGATGTGTGTAGCACTCTACCCCGTCCCAAAATATCTATCGTTTTCATTTTCCGAGAACCAACTTTGATAAAATATATATTAAAAATATTAATATTTATAGTACATAATTGGTATCATCGGAAAGATCTTTGAATCTAGTTTTTAATAAATTTATTTAGAAATATATATGTTGCACGAATTTTCTATAAATCGAGTTAAACTTGTGGTATAAAAATAAAAAACGCCAAATAATTTGGGACAGAGGAAGTCCTCCATAAACAGGTAGTCCGTCTTGTCGTGTCAATGTCCTGGTCCGGAATGTCCGTTT